AAATGGCCTTTGCCTTCACCTTGTGGAGGATCCCAGGAGCTGGGAGGCCTTAGGGCTGGAGCTTGTCACCACTGGGTTGACTTTCATGCACAGAACCCTGCTGAGTCACCTAGGCAGTCACTGCTATTGCACAATAAATCAGCACACCACGGGGCCAGCCCTGCTCCTCAGAGTTGCTGCAACCCCAGGTTTTAGGCTGGCGACTGATTAGAAGGAAATCCAGACATTAGAAAAACCTGCTTTGGAGAAGAAAGCGGGTTCTCTCCCTCTCACTCTCTCTCTCTCTTTTATTTTTTTTAAAATTATACTTGACATACAATAGTATATTAGTTTCAGATGTACAACCTAATGACTCAACATTTTTATTCCTTACAAAGTGATGATCAGGATAAATCTAGTAACCATCACTCACCATACAAAGTGTCTGTCTCCAAAACCCATGCCCCAACCGCCACACTAGATGTAGAGTGGGTTTGTGCACATACAATGCTGGGCCCTGATGGAGACGAGGTGCCCACAATGTCCCTTTACCTCTCTTGCTCGAGCCCTCAGCAGAGTTGCTTCCAACCAGAGTTCCAAGGCTCTGCTCCTGCCCCTGGGAAAGAATGGGGACAGCTGAGAACCCAAGGGATGACCCACACCTTCCCTCCTGGCCTGGCGACTTGCCACAGCCTTTCACATCCAAGTGTAATCTCATCCCCCAGCGCCGCCAGGATCTTATGTGGCACCGGGTCCTGGTACTTGGTCACTTTTGCACGGTGGAGGTGTTTTATAGGAAACAATATTTTCATTTTAGATCAATATATCACAAAAATTGTTCTATAAGCTCCTTTCAAATGTGATCTCCCATTTCAACTTTTCACTGTTTAAAAAAAGTGGCATAATAACCCATGGACACAGACAATAGTGCAGTGAAGTCCTGGGGAGGGGGTGGGAGGCTGTGTCCATGGGCCATGCATACAAGTATATAAGTTCTTTTTTATTATTAAATATATTTTTATTGATTTCAGGGAGGGAGGGAGAGGGGGAGAGAGAAACATCAGTGATAAGAGGGAATCATTGATCGGCTGCCTCCAGAATGCCCCCTACTGGGGATTGAGCTCACAACCCCGGGCATGTGCCCTAACCTGGAACCAAACCTTGACCTCCTGGATCATAGGTCGACGTTCAACCACTGAGCCACTCCAGCTGGGCAGTATATAGGTTCTTTGGTTAAAGATACTTTTTGAAACAACAGTGGCATAAGTTGTTCAACTGATTTATTTATTTGAGCAAGAAAAAATAGTTATAGAAACATATTTACATAGATACATATATATATAGTTTTTTAAATATATTTTTATTGATTTCAGAGGGGAAGGGAGAGGGGGAGAAAGAAACATCAATGATGAGAGAGACTCACTGATTGGCTGCCTCCTACACACCTCTACTGGGGATCGAGCCCACAACCCAGGCATGTGCCCCAACTGGGAATTGAACCCAGGACCTCTTGGTCCATGGGACGATGCTCAATCCACCGAGCCACCACAGCTGGGCTAGTTTTAAAATATGAATTGATATATTACCATGTGTTCCAGCATCAAAAATAAATAAAAAGTGCATTCAAGACCTAATTTATACACTTAACAAAATTAGCTGGTTTTATAAAAACACATACAAAATGCCAGTGCTTTGCTTTAAGCAATGAGGTAAGAGAGAAGGTCTCAGGTTGCTCTTTGCAAGGTCTTCTCCACAAATCCCACACTGTGGGCAAGAGCCATCTTGACTTCCAATAAATGAGAAACCATGTGGGGTGGAATCAGCACATCTTTGACGTGTTTTGGAGGCGTGTAGACACCTCAATGTCCTATAAAGTAATAGTCATCCCATGAACGGGACAGTGACTTGAGAAGGCAATTCTGCAACTCATTTTTCTTTGGCTGCTCATTGGCTTATATTTCAACTGGGTGTTCCTCGTGTGACTTGTCTCTAAGTTCTAATAAAGAGAGGGAACGCACAATTTAAAAGAAGGGCAGCCAAAGCTACAGCAGTTGGTGGTGGCCAGGAAAAACTTGAGCTGAGTGAACTTGAGCTGCTGACTCAGAACACTGCTCACCAGGCCTACATGAGCATGCTCACTGCTTGCGCACTCGGAGGTTCTCAAGTAGTTCAGTTTTTTTAAAAAATAGGTAAAAATTATATTATCCATTGATTTTTTTTTTTAAGAAAAAGGAGAGGAAGGAGGAGGAGAAGAGAAAAAGGGCAAAGGAAAAAGGAAAAGAAGAGGAAGAGGAGGAGGAAAAAGGAGAAGTCAAAGAAGGAAGAGGAAGAGGAGGAGGAGGAAGGAGGAGAAAAAGAATGAAAGGAAAAGGGGGGGAGCTGAAGATGAGGAAGAAGAGTGGGGAGAAGAAAGGAAGTGGCTATTACTGTCTCCATTGGATTTGCCTCCTTGGATTGCAGGTGGTGGGGGCCAAGCCTGCTGGGTCAGTGCAGTAGAAAATCTCACATGTCCAGGATTCTTTCCAATGTGCCATACCCCGGCCCCTTTAAAGGACTTCTCATAAAATCCCTGCACCTCAGTGGGAAAGGCCTCAAGCCCTACCCTGAGCAGAAATTGCCACCAGGCTCCCCAGCAGCAAGAGGGCAGACAGCACACACCCAAACCCCATCGTGGGTGGAAAACACCTCATACCCATCCCCTCCACAGCCTACACAAATTGTTGGAATTGTCTTTGTTTCGGGGCTCTACCCCTTTTCCTCCTCCCCCAAGCTCTTTCCTGTAGAAGTGTAAGTCCTAGATCACTAGGTAAACATCTGTTTGCCTGTAAGATATTCCTGTCTCCTGCAGATAGCATTTGTTACAGTTACTTAA